CTGAAATGTAACTGTGGACTGAGCTAGGCTGCAGCTGGGTACCAGGGTGTGGCACTACTGCCCATCCTCGCAGCAGGACTTCTGGAGAGCTTGAATTGATCCTGCTTCCTTTCCAGGGTCACCCCACCAGTGTTATCTCTTTTGGGTGGGCTCCTGTGCTGATGCAGAGCCTGAGCAATGTGAGTGAGGTTGTGCAGTGCTCCAGAGGTTTGTCAGCTGGCAGTGACAAACATCCCAGCCCCTTTTGTAGCCCTCAGCACAGCATCTATACACGTACCCTGCAGGACATTCTGTATTAGGCCGGTACTGGCCACATGCTGGGCTAGTCTTGTATTTGTCACGCATGAGGTGTAGTAGCTGCCCGGAGTATGTAACAGCTCTCTGGTATCAGTAGTGGCTGGCAGTGTTATGACAGTGCTGTGCTTGAGGCAGGTCCATTATGGTGCACAGGGATTTTAAATGAAGTGCTAAGCCTACCTGCTTACAATTCCAGTTTGTAAGAAATGGTTTGTGTGGATTTGCAAGTCCTGAGCTGTCTCAGTCCTGGAGATAATGTGCTTAAGCCCATATATTTATAGACTTACTTTACTTGCCAGAAGAGGTTAACCTTGTCAGGGGAAGGGAAGGAAGGAATTAATTTTTTTTTTTTTTAAAGAACCTGTGGCATCCCCAGGCCCTCACAAAGCTGTTACTGAGCAGATCTGATCTGAATCCTGAAATAATAGTTTGTACTTGAACACCCATCCAATGTCATCTGGTGTTGGTTTTGCTCTGGAGGGTGTTGGCTCTTAGTTTGCATTTCAGTGATGCCTTCCGTGCCTGCAGTCTAGACTTTACATGCATGGCTCTATAAAGGTCCTGAGGATTAGGGAGGCTTAAATGAATAGCATCCAAAGGGCTAGCATGCCTTGCTGGTATCTTCCAGCTTCTCTTCCTACTGACTTGCAAGCTTCTGGGTCCCAAATGAGCAAGCTCCATGGAGCTGTTTCCTGTTGCTAGGCCTTGTTGACCCATTAGTCATCTCGAAGGAAAACCAATTAGGAAAATGGAGTGCTCTTCTCTTTGATGGCATATCTACCAAAATTGTGACAGAAGATAAATGGCTGCAGTCCCTGCAGCGCTTCTGCCTTAGTCCTCTCTTCCTAACATCCTTTTCGATTTTCTTTTCATTCAACCTCTATCTGTCAAATTGATGCATTTCCCTGCCTGGCATCCTACAGTCCCTCTAAATTACTGCTAGTTTGAAGCGAGTTCATGACTTGTTCTGGGAACTCCTTCCGCTCAGAAGTGCCTTCAGCTGCAGACAGTCTTTGCCTCTGTATTTTTCTTTCCCTGGTGGAGTCCAGAGGGGAGATCCAGCCCACTCGTGTGAGTGGGTGTGTGCTTGTGTGGCTTCCGAATCCTTGCCAAAAGCCTGAGGTTGTGCACGCCATCCCCCCTGCTATGCTTTGGCCATTAGGGCTTTGCAGGCTTGTGTGCGGGTCAGACAAGAACCTGAGAGTCTGCCACAGGGTTGGAAGATCAGTGGTGGGCCTGGGTGGGATTGGATACTGGTTGCTGAGATAGTCCCTTGTGTCAGCCACTAAGCTGGAAGCCCCATCCAGCCCAGGGGTTGAATTTAAGTAACCCTGTTGCTACCACGTCTGAAAAATTTAACTATCAGGAGTTTATAATTGAATAAAGAATTTGAATAAAAGAATCTGGAGATATTTTTTAGGGGGGGGGAAAGTAATGCTTTTTTTCTTCATCTCTGCAGGATATTGCTCGTCTCCTACAACAGAAAGAACTGCAGGAAGAAAAAAAGCGCAAGAAGCACTACCCAGAATCCCAGGGATATACAGTCTATGAAGATAGCTATTATGCAGAAAATGGAGGTATGTCTGCCAGTTAAAGGATCAAGATCATGGCAGTATAGATGAACCTGGTGATCTGGAAACTCTATATTAGGAGATTTAACTTATTCTACAGTCCTGCATTTGGCACTGTAATATTGCATCAGTTTCCAGGGTCAGGATCAGACTTTATTCTAGAATCAGGAAATAATAATTAAAAAAAAAATGGAGAAGACAATTTTATAATTTTTTGTGTCCTAGAAGGTGGCCTAAAGGACAGGCGTAGGGGGTGTGGTGTGTATATGTGCAGGCACACCCATGCATGCATGTTTGAAAAGGGCTTGTGGAAAAAGACAGTAGCTGATAGTACTGATAAGCCACAGTTACTTCTGTGTAGCACCGCAAGTGTGTGGGGGAGAAATGCAGATGCATTTCCATGCTTGCATTTGAAGAGAAATGGTTCTCTGTGCTCATCTGCAATGCTGGCATGACTGTGTGTATAAAAGAATAAATGCTGGTTCATGGAACAGCCTTTCAAAAATAACTCCTTGCAGGTATGTATCCAAGCATTAAAATTAGTACAACCTCTTTTGAATGACTTACTGAATAACAAGGTCATGTCCACAGAATGTCTCTGCTGTGATTATCATCTGGAACTGTATGTTGTGGAAAACATATTACCCACAGCACTGTATTGCTTTCTCTTGGTTGGCTTTTTTGATTGAATACAGACCCTCTTTAAATTGGGAGGAGAGAATCAGGGTGTGTTTAATTATGGAACAATCTGGGGCTGGCTTTGCTGTGCACTGGTGGTGGTTCTTGTATTCTTTCTTCAAAAAAAAAATGTGGTGGGGAAGAGACGGGCTGCTTTTGATTAACAGATTGTGAAGATGAAGATCAAACCTCTTCTCACTTTAACATCAGTACCATTGGTGATTTTAAATGTCTTTTATTTGAACTTATACAACGTATTTTAGTTTCAATTGGGAAGAAGTTTGAGGATGGCTAAGAAAGCACAAAGTACAAAACAGTAGCCAAGTGGAAACTTCGTGACCACAAGTCCTGCTACGTGTAGAGAGCTGGGAAGGACTTTGATCTTGGAGTCTTATGGCCAAATCACCCTTCAATTTTTCAGAATTAAAGGAGACAAGTCTCTGAAAAAAATACAATATAGGTAATAGTTTTGCCATGCAGAGATGGTAGGACAAGATGGATTTTTACAACAGAAATAATCTGACGAAAGCCTGTGACTCTCTGAACTGAGGCTGCGGTGTGAGTTTGGAGAGCAGGGTATCTTGTGGGTCTGATTTTTCTTCCTGCAATAAGCTGTAGGTTTGGAGATGAGGCAGAAGGTGTTTTGTCTGACCATTCATAGTAGTGCTGCTCTTGGGCTGCACTCAGTAAAAACTAGAAAAAACTGGAGTGGATTTTGATGCCTGAATCATCTAGTCCATTGATCTGGAACCTCTGAAATACTTGGGTACCTTTTCATTAGGTTTTAGCATCCTCAATTTGTATCATTCTCATTACTTGTGCACTTAAACAAACAAACAAAAGTCTTTGCTTTATTTGGGTTTTATTCTGTCTTGAGACTGAATAAAAATTTACCCACATCCAGGAGGAATGTGGATTAGGGCTATTCCTCCAAAGCAATCTGAGCTCTTAAAAAGTGGAAAAATAAACATGAAAAAGAGTTCCTCCCAGAAGTGCCTGTGCCATGAAAAACATTTTTGTATTCACTCAATCACTTGCTGCTTGAGAGAGAAACTCCAGGACCTAAAGAGTGTTTACATGGCCCCTGCAGAAAGTGCCTCAGGAACCGGCACCTGCTGAGGAGTTTATTGCCCTGAAATACCCCAAAAGCAAATCTGCTCGGGCTGTCAGGCATGGTTGTGTTACCTGCAGCAATCACTTCCCAGCGCGGCCACACTTAGCTCTTTCATGATCTCCTGCTCTCTGCTGCTGTATCTATTGAGCTTTCCTTAAGGATAAAATTGAATTAATTCTTTGACCCTTGTTAGTATTGTTCAAAAACTGACTCTTACTTTCATACTCTGGTTTCCGTTGTTCAGTAAGTCACTTCCATTGTTTTATTGGATATTTATTTTCTGTAAATCATGTGAATGATCTAAAACTGAACAGAAGAACAACCAGTTAACAGGAACTGCTGTGGTTACTCTTACAGTTCTTGGATTTTTAAAAATATACCTGTTCGGGATAAAAGTCACACAGATTTGTTTTTCAGGTGGATTTTCTGTAGGCTGTATTTTTGCTGGCTCTGAAAAAGTTTTTTCTGAGTAGAATGACTTGAAGGGAACATTCAGTTTTGGTGTGGTGTGGTTTATTTTTTTTTTTTTTTACTCTGAAATCTAGATGATTGTAAGAAAGGCAGAGCTATTTATTAAAACAGAATACAGTGCAGTGAAATCTCTTTTCAGTATTTTTAGATAGTATAAAAAAACCTGTCAGCAGTGGTGAAGGAAAGTCTTACGCTGCTGGGTTGTGTTTTTTTGTGTAGTTCTGTTTCAAATCAGCCTCTATTTCAAGGCAATTTTTTTCTTCAGAAATACGCCTTCATTCTGAAAAGCTGTTGTAGAGAGATAATAGTTCAGTCAGTGCAATGATTTCTCTAAGCATGTAGGTTGATTGGAAAATAAATTGATCAGCAGATTATATACAAGGCAGACTGCTGCATCCTCATAGTTCTGTCAAGTTTATTACTAAAACCAAAAGCAAAGAAAATTTCCACCTGCTTTCTGGAAAGCACGGAGGAAACAACCTTGCCAAGCTGCTGAGTAAGCAGCTTTTCCAGCTACATTGCTGAGGTCAGGAACCTGGGTTTTGTGAAGTATTATCATGCCCTTAAATTTCCGTAACCCTTTCTGCAGTCAGAGCCTAAACTTTTATTTACACAGTGAATCAGTGCGGTCCCTGAAACTTCTGGGTCTGCAAAGAGATACATGACAGACTATGGTGGAAGATATTTGGATGCTGCAGCTATCCATCATCTCATTCTCGCTTTTTTAAAAAAAATAAATTAAAATTAAAAAATTGCATCTCTCCCTTCTGCTTTATGTGGGTGTTCCCCCCATTAGGCTGTTAGATGAGACCTTTTTTTCTGATGAAAAGCTTTGTGCCTGGAGACAGGTCAAGGAACCGGTGTTCATAAACCAAGATCCAACCTGACCCTCTGCTTTGCCTCTCCTGGCCTTACACCCCGCTGTTGCCTCCCGGCCTCACCTGCATTTCACACCCTCCTTTGCAAGCCTTTCTCTGAGGGTTCCAGTATCCTGCAGCAGTGATGTGTCACCAAGAGCTGAACTGCTCTCCTGGCTGTTCTTCAGCCCCAATGGCATCATTAGAAGTCCTTCATCTCCTTGTTGGCTTGTTCTTGTCTTAGGAGATGCTCAGACACAGTTTGGGGATGGACCTGTGTTTTCTGCTCCAACCCTGTTGCCTCCCGTACTGCCAGTCTGCCGTTTCACTCCGTCCCCTGTTATATCCTGTGAGCATTATATCCCTGTTACTTTTCTTGCTGATCCTGCCATGCTTTGCCTGCATTTCCACCTTCTTGCATCAAGGTCCCTCATCTGCACGCTGTGAGTCTGACCTCACTGAACCACCATTAACCCCCACACCACTAACCCACTCCTTGTTTGTCCCCTCGTTGCTCAGAGCACCCCCGGGGTGACCCCAGAGAGCAGGTTTCTGAGCCTCGCAGGGCACGCAGTGGTGACAGGCGCATGCACCGGCGGAGAGAGCACCGAGAAGCACCCTCCCCTTTGTTCGACGGTGCCTCCGAATACAGGCATTTCCCCTCGGAGAATCGTCGGAGGTCTCCTCAACCAGGGGAAGCCAGCAATGGCCATCGGCAGGAGTGGAAATCAGCCAGCCAGGGGAGGTCCAGGAGGCCTCCTACTCTTGAACTGGTAAATGAGGCTGAGCGTGGCACCTGTGACCACAGCAATAGCTGGGAGCCGCGGGAGAGGAGAGCAGCCAACAGGGAGAAGGCTCGTAGACCTCTCAGTCTTGACCTGGAGTTAGAGCATGGACTCACAGACCAGGCACGGCACAGCAGAAAGCCAAGAAGGCAAGACAGAGAAAAGCACCTTCCTCTTCTTGAGATGGAGCTGGAGGCTGAGCAGGAGACCTGGCATCAGGGCAGCAGCCAGCTGGTGCGCCCCGAAAAACACAAATCTCGTCATCAGGGCCACTCGTCACACAGGATGGTGCGTGACGAGAAGCTCCATGATGCTGAATTTAGAGATGATCATAGGAGGGGTGAGGAGAGAGACTGCAAAAGGGCAGGACAGAGGAGACATTCTCCCTCCACACACGCTGTGACCCAGGGGAAGGCTGGAGACTGCCAGCAAAAATCAGGTAACCAAGTGATGGGGAAGGTGTACGTACGTGTGGGGATGGACCTTTGTGCGCCCCATCCTGGTATGTGAAATCTGTGTTGTTTCCTTTGAAGATGCTGATCTCCAATATGCACTGCAATGTGTGCATGGTGAATCCTGCCCAGGTTTCTCCCTTATTTACTGAGATTTCTCTTACCCATTAATGTTCTTGCACTGTTGTATTTCCTGACATGTTCCATGGCATCAGAGAGGATGAGTAAGAAGGTATTGTTGGAAATGGTGCCCTTGGTATCCTGCATTTAAGAAAAAAAACCAAACAAATAAAAAAAAAAACAAAACAACAACAACCAGGTTTTGTTTGCATTATATATTTTGTGGTCTCTTTGCACAGGAGGAAAAAGAAAAAAGCTAACAAAACCCAAATGTTGTCATTACACTTGTATTTTGTTGATTTGATATGCAGGACTGTAAGTGAGTACAGTTTGCTTAAGCACTAACAAGCCAGCAGTTTCCATCCTCTTCTTATTGAAAACCTTGCTGACATGATCAATTTACTTTGGGCAAAGTTCAGTTGAGGCACTAGGTGTCCAGCTGGGCTGTATTTGTAAAATGGAGTTTGTCACCTCCTGTACAAGTGAATTTTTCTGGGAAATGTGTACCTGTGTAGTTCTTGCTGTTTAATAATGCTTGGGGACCAATGGGTTTTAAAGATCCAGATCCATCTTTCTGCTTTTAAAACCACACTGGGGGCGGGGGTGACCTGTTTCTTAGTGGAAGTTTAGAGACCTGCATCTGTCTGTCACAGCATGGGAAACTTGTGCTTTAAGCCTTCTAACTGGTCTTCACTTGGATAAGGTGGGGATGATAATGCATGTCCCTCTCTAGACAAGCTGGGAGAATTATTCCTTGTCTTCGTCATGCAAAAGTTTTCTTTGGGGAAGTGGAAGGTGTTAATCTGGTCTTTTTATACAATCAGGGGATCGTGATTTGCCCTGATACAATGTGGTTCTGGGTGACTCAGTATCGCATCACGTTGAGTCAAAATATCCAGAAGCTCACATCCTCTTCCTGTGAGCCATGGTCACAGTGGGCTTCGTTCTCCCCCGAGTGTGGGCAGAAGTGATGTGGAAGTAATATTTATTTATTTAAAATAAAGCCTGGCACTGATCAGTGTGGAAAGAAAGCTCAGCCTTGGGCTGGCCAGCAAACAATTCCTGGAAATTTACTTTTATTCTTCATAGAAGTAATGCTGTTGGCCACACTGATACTCATTCCAGCATGGTAAAAATGTGTTTACCTTGACCTTGGAAGCACTCGGAGTAATTGAATTCTGACCGAGCTGGTGCTTTTTGACAGAGTTTCTGTGCTAGATGGAGATTGCAGCTCTTCATAGCTTGGATTGATCAAAGTGTGCTGGGAAAGGACAGGTCCTATGCTTAACCATAACGTGCCAGAGCTGAAGTTTTCCTCTTATGCTAAGATGGCTTGTTAGAAGGTGGTAATTGCTTAAGATCATTGATTAATTGATTCAAACAAAACAACGAGCAGAATCCCCACATGCCTTCTTTAATACCTGTAGAAGAGGTGTTTTCATATTCCATGGTTTTATTCTGGGTTGATGTGTGAGGTCTCTTGCCCTCTGGAGTTTGAAGTTTTTGGGATGCTTGGTAGAGTATGATGGTAGTTTGTTGGCAGATGCACAGAAAGTTTTTCAAGGTCCGTTAGTTACTTCATGTTTTTGCCCTTGTTCTTACAAGATGGGAAGGAAACTGATAGGTGGCCCAGTAAGATCTAACAGGTATTTATAATAAATGTGTAAATGGTGTAGCTAGAGGCATGAAAGTTTTGAGTGAAACTTTCTGGGTTTGAGATGGAAGAGAGAGACATCTGGAGAGTTTGTATGCTTCAGACATAAAGCAGAAAGCTCATTTAGATGTCTGAGATGTCTGTACAATACAGTTCAGACTGCAGATGGAAGAAGAAGACATTCATTGTGTGTGAGTGAAGTGATGCATTTTACAATAGGGATACAGTGAGACTCCTTCGATGGCCTGGTGCAAATAGACTATGGACAGACTCTCAAAATGCAACTTTTCCAATCACTTGGAGATGGTTTTACTTTTAAAATAAACAAGTAAAACTCTGTATTCAAAGCAAGAATTGAACCTTGTATGAACTTCAAAAATGTTTACTTGGCTTCTTTCTCATTGTGAATTGTAAAATTCATGGGTCAGCCCAAGGAAGAAATTGTCTGAAACCTCATGTGAGCCTGTCCCAGGCAAATTTTGGAGCCAATGCTGCTCCAGCAGTGTGTTCACAGACTTGTGACAGGTCTTGGGCTGCTCTCTGCTGCCCAGTTTTGCCAGTGTACCTGTATCAATGCAGAGTGTGAAAAATTACGATTCCTTTGCTAGCATAGCTGTGTCAGCAAAAGACTGCTTCAAGGGACATGGCCTCTTCTGCCATATAGTTGCATTTTTCATATAAGACATGATATATCAGATATTTTTGTATGCATAGAGAAACCTCCCTAAGGTGCATGCTGCACCTCAGCTGAAAATACTGTCAGACCAGCTGTCTGGCAGGTATGCTGTCATGGTCTCTGGTTCCCTAGAGAGGGGCTTTTGCAGGTGGCTGAGGAGATGCTGGGGATTTTCTTACTAAAGCATTCGGAAAATGTTTGAGTTGATTGTTTTGTCTCAAAATTCTATAGGCTCTAAGTTGAGGGGGACAAACCAAGCCACCTGTGATACACCCCGAAGGGAACAGGAGTTATCCGATGCAGAGATTGCTCGGAAGCTGCAGGAGGAAGAGCTCCTGGTAAGTAGAGAGGATGCATTAGTCAACTCAAAGGAACTAAGGTAGCCTGGGATGACAACTTTATTTTATAAACCTTTTATATCTGTGTGGTGGTTTCACCCTTTTGTTTTGCATCCAGACACAGCCTGCTCGCTCACTCTCACCCCTCCAGGGAGTAGGGAAGAGAATTGGAAAGAAAAGGGCAAGGAGACTCACGGGTTGAGATAAAAACTATTTACTAATTCAAATAAAATGATAATGATAACAACTGTAATAACAGAATATACCATAGAGTGATGCACAGTGCCCTCCCAGTCCTGATGCAGCTGTGAACCAGCCAAACATGATGACCATGGGCTCCAGCAGCAACTAATAACATTAGTACCTTATCCACATTCTTCTCATAAGAAATCCTACACTGAAACTAAAACACAGCTATTCTACAAAGAAGAAAACTCTATCCTAGCAAAACCAGGGCAATTTGATAGTGACTTTAAGACCTAAGGTCTTGCTGCTGTGCATTCTGGTAATTACATTTGTCTCCCATACACACACAAATGGAGTGACAGCTGATGTCCAGCCAGTAGATCCCTATTTTCTGAAATAAACACCACAGAATGAAACTTTTGAAGCAGAGTGATATCAAATGAACATTTTCAGGCAGCTAAAGATGGCGTGTGGTCAGCCCAGAAGTGAGATGGGCCAGTGTCCATCTTTGAGAGAGAGGGCAGCAGAGTGGGCAGTGTGCCTGGCAAATAGATGAGGGAAAAACTCAGCTGAATAACTGAAAGGACAGTTTGATGTTGAATTGTGAGGTAAGTATTGAGGTAGCTAAGTATATTTGGAGAGGATGGTGGCATATTGGTATGGGTGCCTACTTGCCCCAATAAGTTAATTGGTATGAATAATTCAAACTCAGAGGTGTTTTCTTTTTTCTTCCCCTCTTTTTTTTTCTTATTTTTTTTTTTTCTTTTCAGGCTAACGAGGCAGATCAGAAGGCAGCTCAAGTAGCCCAAGATGAGGTGAGCAAGAAGTCAAATGATTGCAGTATTCCTGTACTTGTGGAAACTGCTAAACCCTACTTGTCCCCTCTGACCCTCTAGTTGTTCTTTTCTGCCCTTGTAAGGGGAGCTCAGGGCTCCAGTGGGGTTTGCTCCTAGCTGGTTTTCATGTATGTGCTCAGGCTGGCCAAGCAGGGAGTTGTGCTGCCTGTTGCAACCATGGCAGAGGAAGGAAGTTCATGGCTGTGTAAGTGCATCTCTTGTAACTGAGCCCCAAGGGAGACTTGCCAGAGATGCTGCAAGATGAACGCCCACATTGAAAGAAAAGGGATAAAGGGCAGAAAGGCTCTGCAAACGCAGCTCTGGCCAATCAGGGATCCACTGGCAATGCTGCATGTAGTCAGTCTTAATTCTGACTTAATTCTTGTCACTTGATTCCTGATCACAGATGGGTGAAATCTTGGCTTTGCACCCCTCCCATTCAGCAGCTGTCCATGGTAAAGGGTTTAAGTAACAAACCCACAAAAGCAGTAAAACTGTCTGACACACTCTTTGTATTTTCCCTCTAGGAAATTGCCCGACTCTTGATGGCTGAGGAGAAAAAGGCTTTAAAGAAAGGGAGAGAGAGAGAAAGGTCTTCCTTTGAAAAGAGGAGGCATGATCAAGACTGGAAGGTATATGAAGCTTCAGAAGGCACAGCAAATGAAGTGCTATAATGTTATTCACATTTCCAAAGGGAGGTGAGGGTTTGTGGTGAGAGTAAAAGGAATGATGCACGCTCTTGCATCCGAAGCATCTTGCTGCCTGTTATTCAGATGCTTCCCAAGCCTTTTGGAGCTACTTCTTTGGTTAGATGCTCTTTGGCTTCAGCCTCAAGCAAGGTAAGCCTTGGGCTCTAGCCTTGGAGGTTGACACTGGATGTCACAGCACCTTATGACCTCCCTCAAGCACTGTCAGTCCTCCTGGTACAGGACCTTTCCTCTGCTGAAATCTTGACAGTAGCAATGAAAGGAGTAGTTGGTTCTGTTTGTGCACCTCAGGTATAAGGACAACACAGCTGCTCCAGTTGGCACTCTGCTCTGTAATAAAATTGGCTCTGTAATGAAAGTATTGAGTGTATCCAGCTTAGGTTTTTGTATGAGTAATACTACAGAGCCTTGGCTAACCGATGTGGAAGGTGACAGGAAACAGATTTCATGACCTACACTGGTAAGGTGCTAAAGGGAGTGTTGTGTTAATCTTGGGGCCAGTTGGAGGTAGCTCTGCTGTTTTCAGCCTCCTTACTGTGTTTGAGTGGTTGCAGGAGCACAGCTGCATGCAGCTGGTCCCATGTGCTCAGCCCAGCCATGTGCACAGGCATTACACGCTGAGTGCTTTTGACCCCAGCCTCAGGACGGGTCCCCCAGCACTGTATTATATTTAGAGCAAAAATTGAGTTTGGCTCAGCAAGACTGAGTTTCATTTACTGGAAATTAGTCCTTATGCTGCTGTCTGCACGTGTCTGGCTGTAGTTAGTTGTGTGCATCAACTGAGCATGAAAGGACTGCATGGAGCTGTGGGAGCCTCCATGCACTGGCTGGTGTCTTGCAAAGCAGGTAGTGAGCTGCTTTCCCTTCTTCTTCTTCCCATCAGCATGATGCAAGTGAGTCCACACGCTCAAGGTCAAAAGAAGGGCCTGAAACTCAGCGACACAGAAGTGACAGGTCTTCAAGGTGAGCTTGAACTGGCTGGTAAAAATGGGGAAATGCAGTTGGGAACCTGCTCAGAAGCTGAGTCCTAGGGAGGAGTTGTGGGGTGACCAGCCTGACCCACCCACAAGGGCTTGGTAGAGGGCAGAGGTTTTAGCACTGAAGAGAGGTGGAGGGCACAGAGCTTGTGAGTTGCTCAGTGACGTACGTCACTTGCTGTGCTTGTGGCATTTGTCCATATCAGTCTCTCTGCCTGGTGCTGATGGAGATTGATGAGCTTGTGCAGTGACATTTGTTAAATGGCAGAGAAACACTGAGGTGGTTAAAGAGCTTCTGGGGATGTGAAACCAAATGTCATCTATGGGCAGGAAGGAGTAATCATGATGCATTTGCCCAGCTGCTCCCGTGGGTTCTTGCTCCCAGTTAAGCCCTGTACAATACTCCTGCTGCTCTGTGTGGACACGCCCCTTCAATACATTGTGCTTTGGGGTACCTCATCCCAGAGCTGCTGGGAATGTGCTGTAGCCCAGTGCTGCTTCTGAATCACTTGGTACCCTGGCCTGATGCTCCTCATGAGGGACTGAACCATGGAAGTGACCCTGGTGGCTTCGATTTCCAATCCAGATAGGAGCCTAGAAATTCTTGTTGAATTTGATAAAGAAACAATAAATGAGGTGTGCAGGTGGAGACTGAGAGAGATCTTACTAAAATACTCTGGGGTTAAAACTGGGCAAGCATTAAACACTTAAAAATGTTGCTCTTTTGAGTGAGGTTTGCATCAAACTTCATAATGGAATTTCTTTGTTTCCTGACAACTTGAAACTATTATTTAATGAAAGCTATCCATGAGAATTAGTAAATACCGTGTATTTCTCACTGCAGAAACAGTAACAGGCTGTGCTCAAAGGAGCTGGTTTGCAGGTAGAAAATCTGGGCCAGACGCAGTTTGCATCCAACTGACAGGGACCAACCAGGCAGCTGAGATGTTGCTTTTCCCATGCTGTTATTACCTTTGATTTTTAATTTCCACCCCCCCGCCCCCAACACTTTTTTTCACTGTTGTGCTTGGCAGGTCGCAGCCTCTCCTTGATGGCTCTGAACACAGTCGGTATTACACAAGCCAGCCCAGCCCCTTGCGCCAGATCCCCAAACCTGAGCACTCTCCTAAAGGTAGGATCAAGCCCTTGGTTGCCCCAGCGCTTTGGTTATTGTGGGCTGTTGTCCTCAAATAAGCAGCCTGCAGAACAGGATGTTTGAAGGAGATACTATTAGAGAGGAGGGATAGATGCTATTGCCCCAGCAGCCAGGTGATGTTTGAGTTGTACTTGGCTGAGCATGTTGCAGGCTGAGAGACTAAAAAGCTGAATTGGTTTCCCTTGAATTTGTCAAACTGTTCTCTGCATATCCTCCATGATCTCTTAATGATGAATGACTGTAAATCCAGGCAGCAAATGAAGGAGAAATAACATGAAGGAAATGACACAATGGATTTTAGGTGACTCACTAGTATCAAACAAGACAAAACCTTGCAGTATCACCTGTCTGGCAGGCGGATGGGATGATCAGGCAGAAGCTTGTCCTGAGAACAGGCTTGTTTTGTTCCTGTAGCATCTCAGCACTGCTTTGTTAGCTTGTTTCCCGAAATCAGTTGGCACAAGAGCAGTGTGATTAGGGTCATCCCTTAGTTTTTTAAATCTCAATGCCAATTATCTTGAGTTATCTGTAGAGTCTCTGGGGGAGGAAAGGGGCAGCCAGAGTTTGACTCAATTGCTCAAATTTCTTCCAGTTCCACTGATTGTGACTTAAAGGTGGACAGTTTACTTCCCAGAACTTAAAAGTCTGCAAAATCTTTGCATTCTCTCATTCATCAAACAAGCTGGAAAGTAGATGGTCTCTTATAGAGTCTGTAAGCCCAGGGTTAATTCCATTTCCTTTAGTGAGACTGTGCAATGTGGCTGCAGTGCCGTTCACAGCCTAGAAGAAATGCGAATGTCTTGTCTTTCTTGCCGACCTACCCTTCCTTTTGCTTGAGTAACGTGACACACAGTTCCCATGTTGGCATTCGGCTTTATCAGTAGCCTGGAAGTCACACAGACATCCAAGAGGGCAGGATATGTAAAAGATGACTGCAGGTAGTATTTTCTCCACCAGAATCTATCCTTACAGATTTTTTCTTTCTGTTTTGCTTTCCAGGTTCCCGTAGGAAGCAGTAAACTGTGCTAGCCTTTGCTTTGGTACTGACTCTTCTGTAGCAAACATTACTGGAATTGCCAGGCAACTTTCTCAATTCCTTACCCAATGGGAGGTATAGCCTCCACTCCCAGGATCTCCTCTTTAAGTGTCATCATATTAATAAGGAACACTTGTTTGTTTCAATTTCTTACTCATATGTGATCACTTAAGCAGTACAGTATAATCTAGCCGCCACTGAGCTGTGTGAATCAACTAGCTGACTTGACAGCTCCCTCTTAGATTCTTTTGAAGTTTTCCTTTTGTTTTTATTTTTAAGCTTTGTCTGGAGCTTTGACAAAGTGATGCACATACAATAGGGAGGAAAATCCAAGATATGAGCAGGGCTATGGCAATGCAGCAAAATGTCTGAAGTACAAATCCTTTCCATCTTAGGGTGACTTAGCAAGGAGAGTTATAAGAGGAAATGTGTTTCTTCCTGTGCTGGCTAAGACAGCTGAGCTAACCTGACATGCAAGCCTGCAGGAAGGAGAGAGGATCTTCATAACATACAACAGCAAAAGCCAGAACCTGGGACTGGTGAGAGAGAAATTTCCTATAGAACAAAATTTCTTAACTGCTGTATTTCTTTCTAGGATTTCCAGCAATCTGGGTGGAGTGTGTGAACAGGCACTTAGCTCTAGGATATAGGATAGAACAGTTAAGAGGAAATACAGTTTCAACTTCAATTAGACCTTGTGTGCATGACTTTTAAGGCATGCCAGGGAGTTGATGAAGCTGTGAGTTGTGGATTGGGAAGAATCATACAAAGAGATTTACATGCCTGAAGGGACATCTGTGGTCACCTGCTTTGAGCTTCAGTGTGGTAGAAGCCAAGGAATTTCACTGAAGCCAAGTAGTAACTCCTAGCTCAGTCACTGGTGCACTTGAGTACAGTAACTTGAGTCTGAACCTGTGTGTGTCTTGGAAACATGAAGGAGGGCCATATGGGCATTGAGCATTGAATCCAAAATCTACTGTTACAGGCAACTTTGAGCTAGACACAGAGTGCTGAACAGTCCATACAATGTCTGTGCTGACCAGCTCCCCTCTACACTGCTCCGTCCAACACCCCAGACAGACTCCAGTCAGGATGAAACTATTGCTCTCTAGGGCATAGCAGGGTCTGCAAATTTAAGTTGTTTGTATAGATTTACTCATGCAGTGATTTTTTTTTTTTCCTCCTGTTGATGGCCTGTTTTCCCTTCACTCTTTCAAAATGTTTTTTGTTTTTTTTTTTGCACAAACAAGTAGCCTTTTCCCTTGGCCTCCTCTCATCTCAATTCTTTTATATTTTTCATAATTTTTTTGCCATTTTTTTCAAGTGCATTTTTAAACAACAAAGCTGAGCATCTGGACACTGGCTTGGAGTGTGTTCTGTTCAGCCAGTACAGACTGGTTATTCAGCGCCAGTCCAGTTCATGGCAGCAAGCCTGGCTGTGTTGCCCCTGCAGCACAGCTTCCTTATTGCCCAGTGTTGAGTCTGCCCACCACGCTCTTCTCTGCTGGCAGCTGCAATTCTGCTGCTGGCTCTGCTGAGGAGAGAGCCAGAGCTGTCGCTGTATTTGCCCTCACCACCATTCTGCCTGGAAAAAGGAGCCTGACAGCTCTGTAGAGCTTTGTAGAGAGCACGTGCTGGCATGGAGCATCAGTG